ATCCCCGGCCCTGAGAAACTTTATATACAGAAAACCACCATGGTGGGATTTGCATTCTAGAAACATCACTATGGGAGCCAAGTATGGTGGGCATGCCTGTAATCCCTTTGCTTGGGAGGCTGAGGCAGGAAGATTGCTGTGATTTCTAAACCACCCTGGCTACATAGTGAGTTCAAGGCCAACCTAAACTACACAGAGAGACTCAGTCCCCCAAAAAACAAAAAAAACAGCTGCTCACCTCATCAAAGGCAGGAAGCAGAGGAGGAAAGAGACAGAAAGAAAAGGGCCACCGACCAGAGGGGACCAGACAGTCCCCAAGGTCATGCCATTGTGATCGCTTCCCAGCAATGCCAGTGAAGGATGCTCTCATGCATGGGCCAATCCGCTGCTGAAGTTAGAGCCTGTGTGATGCAATCAGTTCCCCAAGCCCATCAGCAGCCAGGCCTGCTGCTCAGTGAGCCTTTGGGGGGCATGCAGGATCCTGACCCCAACAGATGGTATGAAGTGAGGGCTTCAGATGGGGCCCAGACATGGGACAGGGCGAAAGCACCCTAAGAGAGAATGTGGACCCACAGCAAGGCAGGTTTCCAGCTCCACATGTGTCTGAGTGGCGAGCACTTGGTGAGCCTGTGAAAGGTCAATTGAGGAGATAAAGTATAAGTTGGGAATGATCAGATCGTGGTGGAGAGTCCAGTTTCATGGACTGGGCAGCCTGCACTCCCTGGTGCTGCAGAATGTGGCCATGGTGGCCACTGGATGTTTTAAAACGGTAGATACCATGACACCAAGGTTTTGATTTGCTTTGTCTTTTGTTGTACTGGGGATTGAACATAGGGCCTCACACAAAGCACCTTTTTTTTTTTTTTATTTTGAGATAGTCTTGCTAAATTGCTAGGCAGCTTGGGCGTGATGGTGCACACCTGTAATCCCAGCATTCAGGAGGCTGAGGCAGGAGGATCATTGCAAGTTCAAGGCCAGTCTGGGCTACATAGTGAGACCCTATCTCAAAAAACCAAACAATTAAATTCACAGACAAGTGATTTTCGTCTTTCAAAAAACAAAAACAAGGGCTGGGGATTTAGCTCAGTGGTTCTGGCGCCTGCCTCACAAGTGCAAGGTCCTGAGTTCGATCCCTGGTACCAAAAAAACCAAAAAAAACAAGCAGGCATGAACTCACATCAATCCTCCTGCCTCAGCCTCCTGAGTGCTGGGATTACAGATGTACATCACCATGCCTGGCTGCCCTCTGGTGTTGAGCTACACTCCTAGCCCATAGTATCTTCTCTCAAATACAGTATGTGGAGAGAAGAGAAGCTATAGCCACTTGACAAAAAAGTAAAAATCTCACCAGAACTAACACTAGCACAAAGTAGTTAATAAGAGAAATGTCTAGAGCAAATATGAACACAAAGACAATATCAGAAGCCCAGTATGGTGGCTCACACCTTTCCCCAGCACTCTGGGAGCCTGAGGCAGAAGGATCACAAGTTTGAGCCCAGCCTGAGGAACTTAGTGCCTTAATGAGACCCTGTCTCAAAATTTACAAAAGGGCTGGGGATGTAGCTCAGTACAAACATCCTGGGTTCAATCCCCAGGACCACAGAAAACAAGAAACAAGACAATGCACCGGTGTAAAGAAAGCGCTTTAGCAATGTGTGACTCTACCACTAGGGTATGGCCACCTTGTGAAATGGGGGTGCCACCGTGCAGGCACCCTGGAAATGTAAGTATGATTTATATCACCTTGCAATGAGGTAGCATTTGGATTTACCAATCTAGCTGGGCACTGAGCTCAGTAGAGTGCTTACCTGGCATGTACAAGCCCTGAGCAATCCCTGGTATCACAAAAGACAAAGAAAAAAGCAGATTTCTCAGTCTATCAGTCTTTTGCTTAAAACCATTTCGTGGCTTCCCCCTAGACTTGGAACCCAAGGCTCCAGCACAGCCAGGCGTGGTAGCACACATCTATAATCCCAGCACTGTAGGAGGCTGAGGCAAGATGATCAAGAGTTTGGGTTCCAGCCTGGGCAATTTAGCAACTTAGGAAGACACTATCTCTAAATAAAAAATTGAAAAGGGCCCAGGCCTGGGTGCGCATGCCTGTAATCCCAGCACTCAGGAGGCTGCGGTAGAAGTATTGCTGTGAGTTTGAGGCCAGCCTGAACTATATAGCAAAACCCTGTCTCAAAAAACCAAAACCGAGCTGGGGATCTAGCTCAGTGGTTCCGCTGCCTGCCTCGAAAGTGCAAGGACCTAAGTTTGATCCCTGGTACCAAAACAAAACAAAACAAACAAACAAACAAAAAACCCAAACAATTTAAAATAGGAAATTTGTTAAATGGGTAGTGGAGAACTAAAAAAGCAAAAAGGGAACGCTGAGTGTTGAGGTGACATCGGTGACAAATATAGGAAGCAGCCACCACCTCAAAGGCTGGAGCACAGAGACAGTGGGTAGGGGAGAGGGGAGTACTTCTTCTCCCTTTCACATTGGGGCGCTGCCAGGCTACCCCTTGGGCCCCTAGGTCTCTGAAGGTGGGGAAGACCTCTGAGCTGGGGGTGTTCTGGCACTCTGTGGTGCAGAAAGAATCTGCAGGGGGATTGCTGGGAGCTGGAAGCCAACCTGAGCCACCTAGCGAGACCCTGTCTCAAAAGAAAAGAAAAGAATAAAGGGTGGTGTCACACAGAAGGTGGCATAAAGTGGGATCTGAGAGCAGGAGCCCAGCCCTTCCTAGGGTGTTGCCCCTGCCCCGCCTACCTTTCTGGCCTGACCACCCCCACCCATATACTCAGTTCCAATCACACTGTCTTTCTATTTATTTTTTTGGTACCGGGGATCAACTCGGGTCCTTGCTCTTGCACAGCAGGTGACGAAACCACTGAGCTAAATCCCCGGCCCTACACTGTCTTTCTGTTTCCATTTCTAAGCATCTGTGCTTGCTATTCCCTCCTAGAAGTACCTTTCCCTGGCTGGGGATTTAGCTCAGTGGTTCTGCCACCTGCCTCGTAAGCACAAGTACCCGAGTTCAATCCCTGGTACCAAAAAAAAAAAAAAGAAGAAGTACCTTTCCCTTGGATCTCCCTCATTTAGCCACCAACTCAAAGATCGCCCTGACTTCACCAATCTAAAGAAGCAACCCTGTCCCCCCTCATGCTCCATATTTCCCATTTGCAGTTTCCTCATAACGTTTACTACTGTTTAAAATTACCTTCTGAATAATGTTTTATGGAGGCCCTCACCCATAATCTCAGCAGTCTGGAAAGCTGAGGCAGGAGGATCACAAGTTGAGTCCAGCCTAAGCAATTTAGCAAGACCTTGTCTCAAAAATAAAAAACAGGGCTGGGGATTTAGCTCAGTGGTTCCAGCACCTGCCTCGCAAGCACAAGGTCCCAAGTTCAATCCCTGGTACCAAAAAAACAAAACAAAACAAAAATAAAAAATAAAACCCAGGGATAGTGGTCCATACCTGTTGTCCCTGCACTCAAGAGGCTGAGGCAGGAAGATGCACTGTGAGTTTGAGGCTAGCCTGGGGTACATAGTGAGTCCAAGGCCAACCTGAACTACATACTATAGCAGAGGCTGCCTCATAAAATAAATATATACACAAATATAAAAAATTTTAAAAGGAGTGGGGATGTCAGTAGAAAGGCCTTGGATTCAAGCCCCAGTACTGAATAATAATTATAATAATAATTATTATAATTATAATAATCCTTTATTTAATTTATTTTTTGGAGGGCTTTTGAGACAGGGTCTTGCTTTGTAGTTTAAGCTGACCTTGAACTCACTATATAGCCCAGGTTGGGCTCGAATTCATGGCACTCTTCCCATGTCAGCCTCCCGAGTGGGGGGATTACAGGTGTGCACCACCACACACTGGGGTCCCTTCATTTAAAAAGATGAGGAATAAGGGCCGGGGATTTAGCTCAGTGGTTTCACTGCCTGCTGCGCAAGTGCAAGGACCTGAGTTCGATCCCTGGTACCAAAAAAAAAGAGGGAATGCTGAGTGACCTCTTCCCATAGCCCCAGGAGGGCCCCTCAGGGAAAAGCAGGACCTGGACTCTGCCCTGATTCTAGAGAAATGAATGCCCACCACACCTGTGCTTCTCTGGACACCTGCTGACTGGGTTTCGCCTAGGTAGGGCAGTGTGGGAGTCCCAACTCACCATCTAGAAGACCATCTGTTAATAGCAGGGCGGGGTGGTGCATGCCTGTAATCTCAGCACTTGGGATGCTGAGGTAGGAGGGTTGCTGTGAGTTCCAGGCCAGCCTGGGCTATATGGCAGGAACCTGTGTGTGTCAAGATACTAATCCGGTGGGGTAAGCCACCAGGTGACCTTGGGCAGCAAGTAAGTCACCTGTCTCCTCTGCCACCCCATCTGTAAAATGGGTAGGTGTGTAGGACTAGGATTTTTGGCCTCCTAGGAAGTTTATCCGCTGACCACAGTTAGCGAGCATAAGTTCTGTCCACAAGGCTCGAATACTGAAAGAAGAGACTTTAAACCTTTCAAACCTAGAATGAATGGCCCAAACTGCGAGAGAGGTCGAGGTGTTAGAGATGCCAGACTGCTGGGCGACCTAGGTTCCTTGGGTCCTAAGAAGTCCTGGGGTTAAAGGTCGGGTTCCGGTCAAGCCCGAGAAATACCGGAAGTCCCATATCAGGTTTACTCCGAGCCGGGTCCTCCAGCGGCGTGACAAACGCACCAAAGGCGGAGCTTCAACACCGGGAGGGGAGGAGCTTGCGTCCACCCAATGGTATCGCGGGTGTCATTCACATCATCCAATCAACGCCGGGAGTCCGTCAAATTTAAACCCCCTCCCACCTCCTCCGTGGGGACCTGTCCCGAAAGGGTTTGTAGAAAGTGGGGCCGCTGGCCCCGCCCAGGCCTGGGAGGCGGGGAAAGAGGCGGGCTCTCTCTGCAAATTCACCTATCACGACCCACAGCCTGCGAAGAGGCGGGCGGCGGCGCCAATCAAGGCTGGCAGCTGCAGTTTGGCGGAGCAGTTGGCTACAGTTGTTGCAACTTTTTTCGAAACCTCGGTTTCCCGGGAGATCCCAGGCGGTGACAGAGCCGGGCCATGGCGAGAGGTATCTGCCAGCTTGGCTAGCGCATGGGGCGGCCGGGTGGGGGTTGGCGCTGGAGCGAGCCGGGAGTCGCGGCGGGAGGCGCCCTAGTGCAGGTGGAGCCCGGGGACCCCGGGGCGGGGGAGGAGCTCCCTCGGTACCTTCCCTGTCCCACAACTCCCGCTTCCGAAGCCCCCAGAAGCCCTTCCCACTGCCATGCCTCGGTTTCCTCCCTCTGAAGTGTGGGCGTCCGCTGGCGCTGCCTCTCCCACTGGCAGCAGATCCATATGTCAAAGCTCGCTGCAAACTAAAGCTCAGGGCCCCTCCACGGAAAGGTTGTACTGACAGAAGGAGGGGGAGCGGGGCCTCGCCCACCCTAGCGCTCTCTCCTGTGGGGACAGCAGGTACCCACGAGGCCAGGAAGCAGATCGGTAACCTACATCTTGGGGAGTGCCGCCGTACCACCTTCCTTCCCCCACGGCCTGAGTCACCTATGCGCCTCGGGGCGAGGCCAGGCCCCACTGGCCCACTTTGGGTGACAAGGGTCCCCTGGCACCTCCCGGGAACCCCTTCGCCCGATCGGGTCAGGACTCCTACCCACGGGCGATGGCGTGGGTGGGTGGGTGGGGTGTACAGCAGGGCAGGCGATGTCCCCGCCTGAAGTCTGTCTTCGCATAGTTTGCGGTCAGGACCACGTTATGCGGCAAAGAGATCTCCGGTCGCTTGGTCACTTCCAGCCGGTGTGTCTCCTTTACACTAAAGGGCCAAAAACTTAAGCGTGACAGTTGAATAGCATTACTATTTTAAAAAAATAAGTTGGAGCATTACATTTTGCTGGAAATGCCAAGGCACCACATACTAGGAGGAATTTGCCTTAATGCAGTAAGCTCTTTATAGCAATAATAATAAGATCATAATGCATTCAGCAAATATTTATTGGGCCTCTTTGTTTGCAGGCCTGCACCCAGTTGCATCATTTGTTCTCACAGCAGCCCAATATGGTCTTTGGGGACAAGACTTCCCCAGATTCTGGTGAAGAAACAAGGCATAGTGAATTCAGGTTAAAAAAACTTTATAACCCAGTTCATGGAGAAAATTAAGACTAATATTTTTCATTAGGAAAGTGTTAAGCTTCTAAAAGTATATTTAACTTATCATCACAAGTCTTAATAAAACTATTGATGGGCCAGGGATTTAGCTCAGTGGTTCCAGTACCCGCCTCAAAAGTGCGAGGTCCCAAGTTCGATCCCCGGTACCAAAAAATAAATAAGTAAATAGAACTATTGATTCCCCGGTTCATTTTTAGTATCATTACCAAACCATTTAAACTACCTGTTTCAAAAGTAGTACATTTAAGGGCCAGAGATGTAGCTCCATAACACTGTGCCTGCCTGGCAAGCTCAAGGTCCTGAGTTCAATCCCCGGTAAAAAAAAAAGTAATATATTTTTAAAAAACAAAAACTTGCTTTAATTAATCTATAGGGGAAAATAAACTAATCATCTATCATCAAAATACTTAAAATATGGGCGAATAATAATTGCCATTGAGGGCCAGGCAATTTATTGTCTCAGTTAATTTTTACAAATTGTTATTCACATTTTTCAGATGAGGTAGAGGCTGAAGTCCAAAGTCACTGTCCAGAGTAGCCATGCTGTGTCTTGGCTTGTTTGGCCCCACCTCCCTTGCTTAGCCAAGGTGAAGGTGAACGTTTTACAGCTTCTGTCATGGTAGGCTTACAAATCACCTTTGTAATTACTGGCTAGTGATTTTCACTGTTACTTGACCCCCCAGATTCATAATTACCTGTTTCTTAGGCTCCGTGTGTGTGTGTGTGTGTGTGTGTGTGTGTGTGTGTGTGTGTGTGTGAGAGAGAGAGAGAGAGAGAGAGAGAGAGAGAGAGAGAGAGAGAAAGAGAGACAGGGACTTGTTATGCAGTTCAGGCTGGCCTTGAACTTGAGGCCATCATCCTGCCTCAGCCTCCTGAATGCTGGATTACTGTAGAGCACTACCACACTTGGCACTCCATTGTTCACGCAAACAATTAAATTGGATATTTAGAATTATAAATACCATTTACAGTATATTAAGCAATTCACTTTGAGAATCCCTCTAACAAACTTCAGATAGCCGGCAACTCCTGTGGTTTTAAAGTTTTATGGTCATCTAGATATTTACAACCCTAAGTATATTAGTTGGAGAAGACTCAATCTGTCTACTTTTGTCCATCTCTTCTGCCATTGCCAAATAGTTGCCTTTGAATTGTTCTCTCTTCCTGTTTAACCATCTCCAGTTCATTATCCCTTCACAGCTCCGATGATCCCCAAAATACAGATTTATATCATGTCACTACTCTCTCTGCCTCAGCCTCCCTGTTACTCCTAGAATCAAATCCACAGTTGTCACCATGGCCTACAAAGCCCCACTGACCCCCTGGCCTCACCAGGCTCCATCTGTCTCTATGTTTACTGTTGAGTCCTTAGCACACAGCCTGGAACAAAGTAGGTATTTAATAAATGTTTGTTGAATGAATGAATGTATTAGTATGTTAGGGTTTTAATTCAAGAAAAACAATATAGATTTTTTTTTTTGAGACAGGGTCTTGCTGTGAAGTCCAAACTGGCCTTGAACTTCATATGTAGCCTAGGCTGGCCTTGAACTCACAGCTATCCTCCTGCCTCTGCCTCCTAAAGCTGGGATTACAGGTGTGTGCCACCACACCTGGCACAATATAAACTATGCTCATATAGCAGAACTGGGTTCACATCCCACCCAGCTGCATTGCTTCTTACAAGTGATTCATCTGGTCCAAGCCTCAGTTTCCACATCTGTATAATAGGAATAATAGCACCTTCTCATAAGTTGTAGGGAAGTTTAAATCAAATAATGCAGTGTGACAGAGCCTAACACATCATAAACATTCAATAAATCTTAGTTATTAGTTGTTTTTTGGGGGGTTTTTTTGGTACTGGGGATTGAACTCAGGACCTCATGCTTGCAAGGCAGGTGGCAGCACCACTGAGCTAAATCCCCGGTCCAATGTTAGTTATTAGTGACATTGCTGTTGAATTATATTTCTGTGAAATCCTGTATTTCTATTGATAGGTATATTTGTTATATACATATAAATATGTCCAAAGAAAGGGAGGACTGGGCCGGGGATTTAGCTCAGTGGTTCCCATGCCTGCCTCAAAAATGCAAGGTCCTGAGTTCGATCCCCAGTACCAAAAGAAAAAAAGGGAAGAGTTTTGAAACTTAAACTGGGTGATTTGCATTTACAACTTTTGAATATCTGAGCTGTTGAGTTAAGAGAAGAGGGTGCTAGACTTGTATTTGAGGCTAATAATTAGCAAAAGCTGTGCCCATGAGTATGTGTGTATAGGGGTGGGATGGATGATTTGTGTGGCTGCTTCCTGCTCCAAAACTATGATCCCTGCAGTAATTTGGCAACAAACCGTGACCATTTTCTGACCTCCTGATGCAGAGACACTTCCAAGTGGTTAAACCTGAGTGTCAAGAGGGTCCCTTTGTGGCTTTTTTTGGTACCAGAGATCGAACTTGGGACCTTGCACTTGCAAAGCAGGTGGCAGAACCACTGAGCTAAATCCCCGGCCCTCTTTTGTGGCTTGGGGGGGGGCACTAGGTAATCTAGGCTGGCCTTGAACTATGCAGCTCAGGCTGGCCTCCAACTTGCAACTATCTTCCTGCCTCAGCCTCCTGCATGCTGAGATTACAGGGACACACCACCACACTGGCTCAGAGTGTCTCTGAAATCTTTATCCATCTGGGTGGTCTCTGGCATTGGAGTCTGTTAGGCTCTGCAGAGGGCATGGGCAGCATGTCCTACACCCTGGATTTAGTGGTTGGGGAGGGAGGGGCCTTGAAGGATTTGAAAGCATGAGCTGTTGTGGGAGGCACTGTGCCGAGTGGGCTCCTGTTGCTTAATCCCACTCAGTCTTATGCCTTCTCATGGGAGGCTGGTGGGGAGGTGACTGCAGAGAGCCATTTGTTTATTTGCAGATACCAGGAGGTGCCCAGGTAGATTATGGAATTCGAGGTTCTTGGTTTTTACCCATGAGGAATCCAACGGCCATACTGGGGAAGTGCCGTGGTTGTGGGGCAGACACGGAGAGAAACACAGGCAGCAGGAGCTGGACCCTTTCAAGTGTCTCGTTGGCATCTATGACTTTGCACAAATTCAGTGAATCTTTGGCTGAGGGCCCACAAGCCCTAGCAGCTGCTGCACCATCCTGCCTGCCATGGGCATTTTGTCAGAGGGACAGGGGGCTGGACACAAGGCCACCTGCTAACCCCTTCTGCAGCACCAGGTGCCCTTTCACCCTCAATTTCCTCCTCTGCAACGGAGAAGTTAGGGGCTGGGACTTACTTAGCCCATTCATTGCTTGTTGTGAGAACTCGCCCAGACTCCTCGCTTCTCTGAGCCTCAGTTTCCTCCTCTGCAGAGAAGACTTAACGTGTTTACCTTCCACTGGCTGTTGTGAGGGTTGAGCGATAAAGTGTGCAGTGGAAGCACCCAGCCCATTTATCATCGCAAGCCCAGGCGCTGTCTGCGCGGAGGCCTCCTACCGGCCAAGTACAGACTGCCTGGGTTTGACACCTTGGTCCCAGCCCTTCCTGGTCCCAGCCCTTCCTGGTTCTGGGGCTCTGGGTGCAGCCCTCGCACATCTCTTGAAACTTGACATCCCCGTCTTGGGCTGGGTGCGGGCAGGGGCGGACCCCGGGGGCTCCGGGGGAGTTTTACTCCGGCTGGCGCAAGCACCCGAAGCTCGCCACCCGCACCCCCGCCCCGCCCCGCCTGTCGCGTTCAGAGCTGCTGACTTCGCCTGGCACGGGTCGGGCTCCCAGAATACCTGCTGCGCCCGCCGGGGAAGGAGCCTGGCGAGCCGGAGCCCGGCTGTCACCGTCGCGTTTCCCCCGCGGTGCGTGCCGAGTGGCTGATCGCGCGCGCGAGGGGGCGCGCCCGAGCTGGGATTCGCCGCGCGGCCTGGGCTCCTCCCAGAGCCGGGCGCCTCCTCCGCCTCCTCCGCCTCCTCCTCCTCGATCCCTCCCTCCGTCCCTCGATCCCCCCCCCCCGATCCCTCCCTCCTGCGTCCCTCGCTCTGGGCGGCCCGGGGCTGCCGCGGCGAGCGGTGCTGGCCCGGCTTCGCTCGCCATGGGGGAAGGGGGCGCCGTGGGGCGCCGCCGGCCCTTCCCCGGGGCGCCGCGGCGGCGCTGG